CTGATTTTAAGGCTTACAAGAAAGCTACAGTGTGGTATTGACAAAAAGACAGACATATAGAATAATGAGTCCAGAAATTAATCCAGCCATATATTATCAATTGAATTTTGACAAAGATGCCAAGGCAATTAATTAGGAAAAGAAGTCTTCCCAATAAATGGCACTGAAAATGCAAATCAAACCCCAATGAGATACACTTCACATTCAAGAATAACTATCAACAAAAAGACAGATAAAACAAGCATTGGAGAGGGTGTAGAGGCATTGGAATCCTTACACACTGTTCACAGGATTGTAAAATGGTGTGATCACTTTGGAATGAGCTTGTCAGTTCCCGAAAATGTTAAACATGGAATTGCCGTTTGACCCAGAAGTTCCATCCCTAGGTATATACTCAGGCAAATGAAAACGTATGTCCACAGAAAAATTTGTACATGAATAGCATCATTATTAATAACATAATAGCCTAGCATCATTATTCTTAATAGCCAAAAAGTGGAAATACCCTAAATGCCCATCACTGATGAATGGATAAGTAAAATGTGATATATCCATATAATGGGATATTACTTGGCAATAAGAAGGAATGAAGTACTGCTTAGGTTGCAACATGGATGAACCTTGAAAACATTCTGCTAAGTGAAAGAAGCTGGTCACAAAGGAACATATGTTCTATGATTCCATTTATACGAAATGTCTGCAATAGGTGAATCCACAGCCACAGAAAGTAAGTGGCTACCAGGAGCTGGGGGAGGGAACAATTGAGTGACACTAATGGGGCCAGGGTTTCTTTTATGGGGATAAAAATGTTCTAAAATTAGATTGTGTGATGACTTTACAACCTTGTGACTAATAAAACCCACTGAATTTACATTTTAAATGGGTAAATTGTATGGTATTGTGAATTATATCTCAATGAAGCTGTTTGTAAAAGGGCACCATTAAGAAAACAAAAAAAGCAAGCTACAGAATGAAAACAAATATTTATATTATGTATCTCTGACAAAGGATAGGATATATAAAGAACACTTCCAATGTAGAACATGATGACAAACAATCCAATAAAAACTGAGTAAAGGGGCCGGCCGAGTGGCTCAGTTAGTTAAGAGCTTGTTCAAGAGTGTGATCTCTGAGCAACAGGGTCACCGGTTCGATTCCCACGTGGGCCAGTGAGCTGCGCCCAAGCTGAGCTGCTGCTGAGCTGCCAACAGGTGGCAGGATGGCTCAGCTGGTGAGAGTACTTGCTCCTAACAACAAGGTTGCCTATTCAAGATGGTCGGCTACACCCACCTGCAACTAAAAGACTGAACTCAGAGCATGTGCTCTTAACAACAAAGCTGACAGTTCAACTCCCGCATGGGATCGTGGCTACGCCCACCTGCAACTAAGACTGAACTCGGCACCTTGAGCTGAGTAACGCGGCTGGATTTGGAGCTGAGCTTGCTGCATCCTCCACAACTAATTGAAGGACAAAAACTCAGCTGTTCCCCTGCCCCAATTCCCCAACACTGTTGCCCTCCCCCATTTCCCAATAAACATCTTTAAAAAAAAAAATCTGAGTAAAGAATCTGATTGGACACTTTACCAAAGAACATATAATAAGGGCCCATCAGGACATAAAAAGATGATTGACATCATTAACATCAGGGAAATGAAAATTAAAACCACTATGGGATACCACTACACTCCCATTAAAATGGCTAAAATTGAAAAGACTGAAAGCATCAAGTGTTGGCAAGAATGTAGAGAACAGGAACTTACATTTGCTGCGGGCAAAAAGGTAACAGAATAAAACCACTTTGGAAAACTGTCTGGCAGTTTCTTAAAAAGTTCAACATAACATCTCCTTTACAACCCACTCATCCTATTCCTAGGTTTTCACCCAAACATACATCCAGACCAAGGACTGTACATGATGACAGCAGCTTTATTCATAATAGCCCCCAAACTGGAAACAAGCTAAATGCTTATCTAAAGGAAGTGGATAAAATGTGTGCTCTCCAGAACAATGAAATGCTCCTTGGCCCTAAGGAGGAACGAACTCCTGAGACATGCTACTACAAGGATGAATGTCAATGATTATGATGAAGGAATGAAGCCACATACAAAAGTGTACATACTATGTCATTCCATTCGTATAATACTTCAGAAAATGCAGAAGAACCCCTACTGAGTGAAAGTGGAGCACTGATTGGCTGGGGTCAGCGGCGAGGAAGGCGGGATTTCAAATAGCCATCAGGAATCTTTTAAAGGGATGGCAATTTTCCGTTCTTGACTGTGGTGGTGGCTTCCCCGGTATGATTCTCTCACATTCATCACGGAATTGTTCAGGTTAAATGGGTGCAGTTAACTGTACGTAAATTATACCTCGATAAAGTTGATTTTAAAAAAGTAATGAGAACCAATGAAAAAACAGTTCATACAAGTTAACAGTTTGTGTAATTAGCATATTCAGTGTTGATGTAAATAGTGTCTCTAAACTGCTTAACTTACATAGTTTTTCCTTAGGTGCTTCAAACACTCATCACCTCTAGATCTGGATTCTGTGATTAATTTGCCCGACAAACTTGATACAGTGTACCCCAAAAGCTCGTTCCAGCCCAGCTCCTCTCTACAGTAACACAAATTCTGAATAAGTGTGGTTTATATGAGGCGGTTTTAGGATTAATGCAAAAAAGAGGAAAGCCATGATTAAAAAACACTCAGTGAGGGGTGGGGACAGCTGGGTGGACAGTACAATCTCCAAACTTTGTTCTAAGATTCATTCTGTTCCAAACACTTTTATGGTCTCATACCAAACGATATTTACATAAACTTCTGTCGGTAAGTATACAGATGGTCCCCAATCTACGATGGTTCAAGTTACGACTTTATCTGCACAGACATACTGATGAAATGATACGGATGCAAATAAAGAAACCAGTCTGTACTGAGAACCTGCTATTTATGGCAGGCCATTTCCCACACGTTTTTCTCATTCAATACTCACTATAGCCCTTTAATGTAAATACTGCTATGATCCCCAATTTTTCCCATTAAGGAAACTAATAGAGAGGCCAGGTTATTTGCCAAATTTCACCTAACTAGTAAGGGGCAGGGCTGAGATTTGCATATTTGGGGGACTTTAAACTGATTTCTTTAGTGACAGTTCCATAAACAGAGAACTTAAGCAAGTGAATACATATAGCTTTGGATTCAAGTATTAAAACTTTTTTTTTTGCATCACCAATAAAAAAAGCACACATTTAAACACACTACTGACATTTTGTGGAGCTTTTTCTTGTCACCAATATGTCATATTCTTCCTATTGAGGAATCAATAGTTGAGGGAAATTTACTCACTTCCTTCTTTAAGAGCAAACAGTACATAAAACAAAGTCACATGAGCGTCTAGGGAGTGTCTCCAGATTGGGGAGGACTACCACTCTCTAGGAAGAACTAGAAATATAGCAAACTGTAAAACAAACAGAATAGCAAGGAACTAGGAAAGACTACACTTAGGTAGTTAGGTGTTACCATGGAACTTGCAGTCAAAATTGCTTTGAGCGCCAGGCTCATGGGTGACAATACCACACCAATCTGTAAAACTGCTGCTCACTACCTGGGACTGTCGTTTGCCAGAGAAAAACCATTGATAAGCTTGCAGTCTGGATATGTTTTTTAATGTTTATATAGACATGTCATAACCTACTAAAAATATTTTAAAGATAATGAAAGATTTAGAAAATGCATTAAGAAACACTCATTTGCATCCTAACATAATCCCCAGTTAATGTGTTGTTTAAATATTCATGAGGAAAAAGAAAATCGATTTTAAAAACTTGTTAGTCTAACCCTCCATTCATCTCAATACCTCTGGCAACTGAAATTCTGAAAATCATCAATAAATAGGGAAATTTAAGTCTGTATTCTGACCTTCAACAAAAGTCCTCTTCAGTTACTCAGCTCAATAATACGGCGTTTCAGAATTTATTCACTTGGGTCATGGTTAAAGCACAACCAATGTAACAGTTTCCAGCACTTAAGTCTAATAAATCTAGTCCTGGGCTACTCCTAGGAATTATATTACTTAGAGGGAAGCATTGTATGAGTGGGGAGGCAAGCATCTTACATTTAAAAGACTACATGTGTGGGAATGGAGTCAATGGAATTGTAATAGATAAGTATGATATCGGGGTGGGAGGGCAGTAGATGGGGGAGGGGGGTTGGTACTTTGTGAGGGTGAAAAGGATAACTATTGCATTGTTCTGCATACCTGAAACTAACAATAAATAAATAAATAAATAAATAAATAAATAAATAAATAAATAAATAAATAAATAAATAAATAAATAAAAAATAAAAGACTACATGTTCAAGTCTCTACCTGAATATCCAGCTTTCTTATTTCCTCCCTCTTTGGTAATCTCTAGTGTTGCTAGAATGCAGAAAGCATCTACTGGGGCTGATAATGTCAAGGTCTGACTTCAGTTATACTTCTCCTGTTCAGGCATGGACTCCTGTGCAGTCACACGATACATGCGTTTATGTGCCAGCAGGAAAGTCAAGGGAAGGGACCCAGCACACGGCTACCATCTGCTGCCACCTCCCCCAGCCGCCCTAGAAATGAAGACAAAGGAGGGAGTTCCTCCCAGAGATAAGAGCAGAGTGCACTTCGCAGCGAGCCCACAGAAGTACTTTCAGGAAGCGGCATTTGGACCTCGCACGTTAAAAAGCCGGACAGCCGTCCTGAATGTAAGCATCCTGCAATGGAAGCCTCGGATCCCAGTGTGGGCACCTGAGATTTTCAGTCTGGCCCAACAGCTGCCGGGCTGACCAAGTGAGGCCTGCAGATGCCTGTGTTCAGCCAGCTGTCTTTGGTTAGACCCACGCCTCTCCATCGTCTCACAGTCCTCACCACTCCACATTGTCTTACCTGGCCCACCACATTAGTTCATTTTATCACCTGGCCCTTTCGGCATTGGAGCTTGCAACGCTCATCAGTTGAAAAAGGTACTTACAGCTGCATGACCAGGTACAGGTGATTCGGGCTTTCATAAATGTCTTCCAGGGCAACAATGTTTTCATGCTTAATCCTGAAAGAAAAAATGAAACACACACACACACACACACACATAGAGAATAGTAAGTACAATGAGACATGAAAATTTTTCAAAACTGATGTCATTAAGCTTTAAAAAAGAAACAACAGGCCCAAAATGAAGTCACTTGTGCTAAGCCCCACATCAGCAACCCGAGACTCAATACCTAATCTAACAGCAGTTACAACCTCCCCGAGGAATGGAATATTAACTGGTCAGTCTGGAATTTTCTGGTTGACCCAGGAGGTAATATGCTACATACCCCCCTTTTGTCCCCATAAATAGATTACCTAGGCCTGAAACAATCCACTGTCTTCCCCTTCTGCTTATAAGCCTTCCATTTTGCACAGCTCCTCGGAGCTCCTTTCTATTAATACTTGCTAGGTGGGATGCTGCCCGATTCACGAATTGTTCAATCCAGCCACTTAGATCTTTAAAATTTACTCAGTTGAATTTTTGTTATTTAACATAAGACAGAATCCAAGCTCGTTAAGGTGACGTTTAACACTCTTCACAATCTTGAACCCAGACATTTTCCCAGACCTATTTCCCAATATTCCTCGCCTACTCTCCACTCTCCCTCATTCCCGAGGCTCTATACCCTCCAATGTAGCAACACTGGGTTAACTCCTGTTGTGTCACGTATATCCCAACCTTCTTACATTTATTCATATAATCCCAGGGATGGGCCAGCCCTGTCAAAATCCCACTATCTTGCAGGGCCCAATTCAAATGCCTGGGACCCTACGGAGAATTTCATTCTCCTTCACTGTAGTCTCACAATGGCATCACAGACTGGCCTGAACAATTCACTGTATGCAAATCCACCACCATAACAGACTAGATGTTTCTAGTCTAGGAGACAATTTCACTGCCATGCTCATGACTCCAGTGGAGGCAAAGGAAATCCAGGCTGATCCCTCATTGGGCTTCTAGTCACCACCACCACTAAATGCCAGTTCAGTACCCCAGGTGAACTAGAGGATTCCTGCTCAAAGAGTGGTTCCCAAACAGGCAGCACCAGCATCTCCTGGGAGCTTGTGAGAAATGCAAATTCTCAGGGCCCTGCCCCTGTCAGACAGAATTAGAATTCCTGAGGGTGGGGCCTAAGGATCTGTTTTAACAAAAGCCTCAGATGATCTGTATACCACCAAGTACAGCTGGACTAGACCAGTGCTTCTCAAACTTCGGGGTGCACACGAATCACCTGGGGTTCTGGTTTGACTTGCAAGTCCTGATTCAGCAGGTAGAGGACGGGGCGTCAGAGGGTCCAGGACAGGACGTCAAAGGGTCCGGGGCGGGGCGTCAGAGGGTCCGGGGCGGGGCGTCAGAGGGTCCGGGGTGGGGCATGAGAGTCTTCATTTCTAACACAGGCCTGGAGATGCTAATGCCATGGTCTGGGGATCACACTCCACCAGGAGAACCAAGGGAGAAGGAAACAGCCTAACGCTGGCCCCTGGGACTCCCTATTAAGCGCAGTTTCTGCTCAGAATGTAAGGTTTGAGATTTATTTAAATCATTTGAGGAGAACCATTTCATTACTCGATGAGCTAATTAGCTCGTACCGCAAACTTTTCACCAAAATGATTGCTGAACCACCTAAAAGCCAGCATTTAACGAGCAGATTCTTTGTGAGCCCTTATAAGCAGGGACTACATCTTGGTCATTGGGTTTTCCCCTCGTACCTGCATCAATCTGCTTAATAAATGTTTCCTGCGTGAATGGAATTTAAAGGTTGTTGTTATTAAACAGCAGGAATCATTATTTAGTTGGGGAAAACGGAGGCAATTTTCCTAAGTATGAGATGTCTGCCCCTCAAAAAGAAATTTATAAGGTGGAACCAACCAGAATAGTATCTTGCCTTTGCACTGATGAAAGAAGGGAACAAAATAGATAACCGAGAGTAGCAATGCTTTGCTTTGATTCTTCCAGCTCCTGTTAGTGCAACTGTGTGTAGAAGCTGAGATGATAGATTAGGCTAAATTCACATTTCACCTAATTCCAATGAGTAAGCCTAATTATTTGTCAGCAATGGTCACTGTGATACCTGAGCAAAATAATATCAGCAATATATTACGTGAACCGCACAAACTATATGCCACCAAGGAAAAGCAAGACAGATTAATTTGGGACTTCCAACAACCTAGATGTTCGTGGAATTATCATTATTGGATATACCTGGAAGAATATGACCACAAAATGCATAAGCATATGGGTTTTCCCTTTTATTAACTGTTTAAAATGTGCCATTGCAATCAATCACATGGGCAAAAGGACTTTCTTCCAGTTGAGTTAATTTGGGGGTTAATTAAGATCTCAGGCTTATGGGAAAATGAAAGGGATGGGTTTATATGTATGGCTGCCAGATAAAATGCAGGGCACCCAGTTACATTTAATTCTGGATAAACAACAAATACTTCTTAAGTATCAGTACGTCCCAAATACTGCATTGTTGTTTATCTGAAAGTAAGTGTAACTGGGTGCCCCGCATTTTCAGGTACTGACTCTGGCCACCCTAGTTACATAAATCATAGTCAATGAGTCAGCCCCAGGGGCTTAGAGATGTCCCTGCTGGACTTAGAGGTTGAGCCAAGAAGGCAGCTTAAGCCTTGGTGTACAGCTATTAATACAGATTCAACTGTATACAAAGAATCAACTATGTACAAAGCACTTGCCCAGCCAAAGTCGGAGTCTCTAATACATTAAGAATATAATCCCTTCTCTGGATGCAGGGAATGGAGAAATTAAAGTCTATTTACCCTGACATGTCTTTCATGAGGTCTTACAGTGGCTGGAATGATACTTCTTCTGACTATCCCTCTTAGAGAATCAAACAACTGTCATTTGGTGACTTTCTGCTATGTGTCTGGGAGAATGTAAGAAAAAAAATAAAATAAAATAAGGTTTTGCCCTCTAAAAGCTCATCACTTAGACAGAGAGACCCATGAAGCAATCAGGAAAGAGTTAAATGCTAAACTCTGTAGAACTGCCACCACATTCAGAGAAAGCCAGGCCCTGTCTGGGTCAGAATGATGGTGCAGGCCTCAAGAAAATGATGGCAGTCCAGCCGGGTTGGGTAATGTTTGAACAGGCACGCTTCAGAAATTTCAGAAAACCCTAACATGGCCTCTTAAACGTCTCTTCAGAAAAGTGGTTTAATTAACTTGTATATGTTAGAACACGATAAAAGAAAACATGATGGCCTCCCACAGCTGTCCTCAGGTACTTTTATTCCATCTTTAGATTCCCTAACATATTCAAACACTGAACTTTACATTCTAACATTATTTTAGTACCTAGGCTATCTCCAGAAAACGCCATACGAATATCTATCCACACGTATCTGGGCACCTACCATGTACCAGGCACTGTACTAGGCATCACAGGAGTGGCACCTCAGTCTCATAGAACCCGCACAGAGGGCAACTGGCTGCAGCTAGGACATTTCACAGGCAGGCTTTCTTATATTTACCAGAAGCCAGCCACCTTATAATTAGCAGGGGCCCTTGGGAGCAACACAGAACAAGTTCATGCCCTCTTCTCATATATCTTACAATCATTTGACAGATATTATGTCTCTGCTTAGTCTTCTCTTATCATCGACCAATCCTCCTCCCACACAGATGCCTCGCATCATGTCACTGTCACTCTTGTTGGTTGAGACTATGGTATTCAGAACTGAAAGCAATGATCCCAGTGTAAAACATAGCAGCAAGGATAGGGTATCAAATAATAGAGTAGAACTAGTAACCATCATGAGGTAGATATTACACTTGCAAATAAAACCTGACATTAGATTCACTTTCTTAAGGCAGCTCCACAGCTACTTGCCTATAAAGAATATGAGGTCTGACAATTAAGTTTGAGAAGTTGTAACAATGTTG